CCCATTAATCACTCATTACTTGGGTCCTCACTCCTGGCCAGCCCTCAGGCAGCCCGCCAGCTGGCAGGGAGGGTGGGGCGGGCCCGCCTGCTGCCCAGCCCAGGCCCCGAGCTGCCCAGGGTCACCTTCCTGCATCGAGGGCCCGGCTTTCCTGCTCTGGACCACGCCCGAGGGGAGAGGGGCCACGGGAGAATACCGCGGAGCATCACTGAAGGGACCCGATTCTGCGGGGCTCACCAGAGGGGACAGAGATGGGTACAGTCCATTCAGTGGGACGGTGAGGTAGAAAGAGAGGAGATGAGCAGAAAGAGGCCACTCTCCCAGGACAGCTAACCAGCAACAGAGCACACGCTGCCCATCTGTTTCTGAGGTTTTCCCTTGGGGGAATCTCAAGGGAACCGGGGAAGGGAGTGGGGTGGAGAGAGGATGTTGAATGGATAATTCATTACTATTACTACTACTACTACTACTACTACTTACTAATTATGCAGCACAGGTGTTGATCTGCCATATTTGGACAATTATTCAGACACAAACCCCCTGGACTTGGGGGGCTGAGATTATATGTAGCGCACATACTGAGAGCTGCCTGCCTGCCAGACCCTGACTGGGTACACAGAAGGTGAGAAAAACAGGGTGAGAACAGGCACCGAGCTCCTACTCCATGCTGGGCCTCACCCTAATGCTCAGGGGGCCTATGCACCAGTCCCCATACCAGACCCCAGGTGGCTTTTGGCCATCCCTTTGTCACACGCGGCAGAAACTGTGACTTAAGGGCTTATAGAATAAAGGGGATGTGTTGCTGACCAGACCCCACTCTGGCAAGGGAGGTGTGACTTACCAGGCCAGGGAAGTGAGGGGCTGGCATGTCGTGTTCGGCCTTATGGGGGGGGGGGTGGTCCCAGCTCATTTTTTACCTCAGAAAACCTGGGGTTCTCGAACCAACCTACCTGATCTTGCTCCCTGAGCCTTGCCCAGGCCAAGAAATATATCCACAAGGAGCCTGGTGGGGGCTGGGCTTGCGTACCTCTCAGAGAGGGGATGGGGCATGTTTACAGGACTGAACAGAAGTTTGCTTTGACTGAAACAGGGCTCTCTGTCTCCGCCTGGCTGGGGTCATGATGCATCATTGCTCACTCCTTAGAGTCAAGGTCAAGGCCTCTGTTAAAAAGGTCACCTAGGTCACCCTGTGACCTAGGATAAAGTGGCTTATCAGCTCAGCACCTGTCACCAGAACCTCACTGTGAAGGCAGCCCAAGGCAGTGGTCCTCAAACCAAGCGTGTAGAACAATCAGTTGAGGCAGTCTTTAAACAACGCCAACTCCACCCTGGCTGGCCTCCACCCTGGAATCTGGTGTCTTCCCAGCCGAAGCGATTTCGGATTCCGACGTCCCACAGACAACCCTTTCAGGGGACAGTGGAAAGAGCACCTAACGGAGAGCCGGGTTCTAAGACTGAGGTTCAAAACCTGAGCTGTTGACCTAAGGCAAGTAAGCTGGAGTTTTATTCCTTGTAAAATGCGGATTATACCATCTCCCTCACAGGTTGCTGGGAGGATTAAGGCATCCGGCAGAGCACACCCCAGTGCTCACGAAACGTGACCTGAAAGAGTTCATTGGGCCAGCAAGGTTCCAGAAACCAGAGAAGTCAGTTCTGAAGGCCTGGAGAGAGAAAAAAAGGACAACACAGGCCCAGAAGTGAGGAAGGGGTCTCAGCGTCAGCCCACAGGTGCCGCAGAGTGGGAGGGAAGTGGGGGGTCCGAAAGAGGGCAAGAGTCCACGAAGTATCCTCCAGCCAGAGAGCCTCCCCCTTCCCTGCGCCTGCCCGTGTCACACTAATAACTTCTGGCCTAACATGGCTCATCACTGTTTTCACAGACAGGAGTCAGTAATATGGCACCCTCTCAACTAAGCAGATGTAAATAACTACCACAATTCTGCACGCACAGAAAAGGAGAGATAAAACGGGGCGGGGGGCAGGGAGGAAGAGAAGAAGAGACAAGAAGGAAGCTGGGAAGGAAGCGTCAACACAGTCATGCTGTCAAGCCAGCAAGAGCTGGCCATGGGCTGGCACGGGGCTACGCAGCCTGGAAAGGCTCAGGAAGGAGAAGCCCAGGGGCCACTCTGGAGAAACTTCAGGGGCCTGGGAGATAAGGCTGGCCCACCCTGGATGCGTTCAGGCTGTATAAGTAGTAAATGCAAAGGAGGCAGGGGAGGACTTCAGCTGGGTTCAGAGAAGACTGAGACAGGTGTGTGCGAGAGCGGCTGGGGTGTACTTTCTGGCAGAACCGAGATTCTGAGCTGCCGTTAAGCGTGCACACAAGGCCATCATAAAGACACCAGGGACATCAGGGAAGAGGTGGGCGACTCTTGGGTCAGCTCTCTCCAGCCCTTCAAAACGGACTTCTCCGGTGAATTACGACAGTTCCCACTGCCCAGATGAAGACTGATCCTTGGCCTTGTCTACCATGTCTATACCAGCACATTCATGTCGCTAGGTCTTTGCTCAAGCTCTTCCTCCGACTGGCATGCTCTCTCTCCTCCCAGCCTTTCCCATCTCCTTGAACTCCTCCTCATGCTGCAAAGCCCAGCTGTAATTGTCCTAGCTCCTCCCGTGCAGGAAAAGACTCTCCCTCATCGGTATCCCCAAGGTTCTTCATTGTTTCGTGGTTACTTTTTTTTTTTTTAACATCATTTCCTCTCCCGGGTGGCTATTTATCATGTGTTAGCCTGTCAACAGATCCAGGACATGGATATTGTCCTGTTCTGAGTTTAAGCCTTAGCACATGGTACCAGTCCCTGGGACACAGCAGATGCCCCAAAAATATCAGCTGGACAAGAATGAAACAGAAGTGAATCCTGGGGAGCCACTGTGATTTCTTGAGAGGAATGATGTGGCAAAATCAGAATTTTAGGAATATTAATCTGTCAGCATGAAAGAAGATGGATTGAAATGAGGAAAGTGACTCGTGGCTGGGAGTCAAGAGGGGAGATTATTACTGTAACGTGGACATGGTTTATGGAGGGAGCAGGGGGAGGGAGACAGGAAAATGATCCCCTGTGATATCACTGAAGAATGTGGAAGGAACTTGGTAATGAATGCGCTATAAATGTGGGGGACGGGATGGGGGCATCGAGGGCACTCAAACACTCAGACTGCCAGCCGACTGGGAGGCAAACGGTACTGTGCAGGGGAAATGCCGCATGAGAAGGGGATGGGGGGTTCGTGCCCCACCACTCTTTAGAATAATTGGCTACAATCACAATAAGCATTTCTAGGCAACAAAACAAAACAAACAACCCCCCCCCCCGAAAAAACTCTCAGTTAAAACATCCAGCCCTGATCTTACTCCCAACTCCGGAGTGTATTTAATTTTACTTATTTTTCCCCTAGCAGCCAGTTAAAAAGATTTCTTCAGGGTAGGAGATAGTGAGATAAAAACCAGTTGGGAGATAAAAACCAATCTGAGTGCCCTCTGGGAGTTGGGCGGGGCGGCAGGTCAGGTGAGCTCATCTGACCAGCCCTCCTCTGGAGAGGCCAGCCAGGTGCCTCATTCTATAGGGCCTCCAGGATTCTGATCACCCGAACCCACTTCCCAGGCCGGGACCTCTGGGAAATCCCTGCTCCAGCACTGCAGAGGGTTATAGGAAAGTCCCAGGACTCCCATCTGCTTCCTCGAATTAATTCCAGGACTAGGATTTTGTTTTCTAAGGAATTCAACTATGGTGCCAACAAAAATCTGTAGGAATTGAGTAGTACCGTATTTAAATTGCGTATTTAAAATGTTTGCTTCCTTGCATATAGAGGAAGATCTATTAAGCCCTTTATCAATGAAGCAAAGACAGACGCAGGTAATGCAGGTTTTAAGAGCTGTGTGATCTTTTAAAAATTAGAGACTGTTACTGTGCCTTGGTGCCTCCAGCTGCGAGGAAAGTCGGACAAGATGATTCCTTGGACCTCTCTCGGGTATCCCTCCAGGTCTCCTAGTCCCAATTCCAGCAGGCATCCACAATCATTTCAGCTACCCAGGTCCACGGGGGCACAGAGGAGACTTGAAGAGACGCAAGCATGCACATTTAATAAGCAGCAGGGGAGGCTGGGGGGTGGGGGGCGGGAGGCTGGGTGTGGACTGCTTGGGAAACACCAGACCCACAATTTCCAGACGCTAAGTGGGCCTGAGAACGCCCTGAAATCCCCTTCCCAAGTTAGGGCTGATGGTTATTTCAAAGGGAAAAAAAAAAAAAACCAAAAACAAAAAAAAACACGAACTTCCAGATCTCTGCAGCCCCAGGAGCTACTTCTGAAACAGCCAGTTCTATAAGCGCGCCAAGGACCGCAGGTAGTTGGGCTGCACTTGAAGAAGTGGCCGGAGTTGGCGGAAACAACCCATCCACTCCGGCTCCCGGAGGCGCTGGGCTGCAGCGGCTTAGCTCAGACACACACAAGGATTTGAGGCTTTCTAGAAAACGGCGTGGCCGAGGCCCCGGGTCGGGGCTCCTTGCGCGCCAACCGAGACCGACCAGCTCTCCCGCCCGGGGCAGAACGAAGGCGAGGCTGCGGTCGGGGCGCACAGGCTGGGTGTGCACTCGCCGGTCCCCCTCGGCCCCGGCCCAGGGAACGCAGGGCCCCGACTACGGAACGGCCCAGGTTGGCTGTCCCTAGAGTTTCAGAGGTGGAGGGTGGAGGGGTGAGTGCTGGCGCCGGGACCAGTAAATCCCCAAGGAAAGGAAGGAAGGGAAGCGAAGCGAAAGGAATGGAAGCGAAGGGGAGGAGAGGCGGCACAGCCGTCGGCACGGACCTAGCGCGCGCTGGCTCCCCAAGCCCGGCGTGGGCGCAGCCCCGCGGCGCCCAGGACACACCCACTGCGCCCCACCGCCCGCGCCTTCGAGTCCTGCGGTCCCAGAGCGGGCCCGAGAGGAGGGCAGCGGCCGGGCCGGGTCGGGGCCGCGCGGACGGGGCGCAGGGGGCGCGGGGCGCGCGGCGCGGGCGGCTCTGCTCACCTGGCGGTCCGCGTCCCGGATCGGCCGGCGGCCGCCTAGCCTCGCCCCCGCGTGCTTCCCGGCGCCCGGCAGCCCGGAGCACGCCGCATGGACGGCCGCCGCCGCCGCCCCGCGCCCGCCCTGCACGGGCTCCCACTGCGCCCCGCTTCGGCGTCGGGCTGAGCGGGCGGCCAGAGGCTCGGGTGCGCGCGGAAAGCTGTAGCTCGGAGTTTGCGATCGGGAGAACGGGGATCCGCGCTCCTTCGGTCCCTCCTCCCTCCCCCACTCGCGGCCTCCCGCTGTCATCTGGAGCCGCTCCTGTCGCCCCCTGGCGGCCGCCTCGGGAAGGACCGGCCCCCACTCCACCCCCGACCCCCGAAGGGGCCCCTCGCAAACAGGAGCGGGACTGAGCCCTGGGTACCGGGACAACGGACATCATCCCATAAAGAGGAGGGCGGTCTAGACGGGAGGGTGGCGAGAGCGGAGTGAAGCGTGGTCCGGATGGGCCAGGACCCGCTGGAGGAGAGGAAAAAGGGCTGAGACCAGAAGGTAAAAGACGGGCAGATAGTGGAAGGCCTTGAATTACGGGTTCATCTTATCCTGGTTTGTGGGACCCCCTGAATGACCGAGGTCCAAGAGGGGCAGGCGCACTCTTGTGTCCGGAACAGTCATTCTGGCTGCAACAGGACGGGGCTGAAGCAGGCATCCGGCAAGGAGAATACCGTTGTAAACCAGAGCAGGGAAGAGGGCAGGGCTGGAAGGATGGGGAGGGAGGAGCCCTCCTCTAAAGCGCATAGAGGTCACCCTCACTTGCCCACTCAAGTACAAGGTAAGACTCACTGGGCTCCCAAAGGCAATGGAAAAGGACCAGAGCACTCAAGTTCTCAAGGGGCATGAGGTAGACGTGAAGCACAGTCCGGAGCGATTCAGCATTGTTTCCTGTCTTATGCAAGTTACCGGGGCGGGAAGGAAAAAGCCTGCGGCAAACCACCACCACCACCACCACCATCATCAAACTTTGGTCTGTATATCCAAACCCTTCTTCTTACTAATTGGGCAGTATTGTCCCAGTGAGGGCTTGAGTAAAGCTGGTTAAAGGCAGGAAGAGGGCTGGAGCCCCGCTTCTTGGTTCCTAACGCAGTGCTCTATTCCTTTCATTCAAACTGATGATTACAGCTGGTGAGGTGGAAGTAGTGAAAATGTGCCCCCTCTCCCAGGAGGGGTGGGATGACCTCAAACATTTGAAGAGGCTGCCCAGCTATAGGCAGTCTCCCTCAGAACGAGTCAGCCTGCTTGTTGATCCTGCCTTTAAAAACTTCTGCTAGTGCAGGTACAGAGGGGGACCTTGAAGGTGGCTGCAGAGGGCAAGCTCCCTGCCCCAGAGCCAGGCTCAGTGGGGATGGGTGTGGTGTGTGGGAGCAGAAAGGGGAGCAATGGGGCAGGGAGCCCCAGGAAAAAAAATTAACAAAGAGAAAGTGGCAACCCAAGAGATCAGACTGGAGAAAGAGAACCAACTCTGAGCACCTGCTACTGGCCAGGAGCCTGGGCAGAGCCAGTTCTGACTGATCCACACTGGTTCCAATGGGAGGAAGTAACTCCACACACGATCAAACCCATTTTGACTGTAGGCACCTGGTGTTCTCTTTATTTAAAGCCCCAGCGACTTCCTGGAATTAAATTAATCTGGGGGTCACAGGACCCATAGGTCCAGATTAAGGGGATCTGACAGCTCTAGTAAATTCTGACCAGTTTAAAATCATTTAAAATGATAGAACATTTATACAACATTGGAAGGTACTGGAATTATGGATTGGGACCCTACCGCCCCATTAGTAAAAGTGAAATGTACTTAGTGTCACTGAATTGTACACCTAAACATGGTGGAAAGGGTCATTTTTATGCACTGCATATTTTACCACAATTTAAACAAAGAAAACAAAACTGATCAAATTTGCTCAAATTGGATGGATTCATTAATTCATTTAAAAGATGTATACTGAGGGCTACAGATGAGATGAAGGAATGTTCCAGTCCAAAAGAAGCTTGGAGTCGGGTGGGAAAGGTGTTGTACAGTCAAGAAATCATACCAGCAGGTGGTGTCATTGGGGGATATACAGCAGTAGCTGAAGACTCCAGGGAGGGGAGCAGGAGTCTAGGACGTTCTGTTTGAGCTGAGCCATCAAGGACAAGGGGAGTTCTTCAGGCAGGGCCTGTTATGAACAGGCCGTAAGAGCAAGGATATGGATTTTGTAAAAACAAGCTTTAGATTTACGGACGAATTGCAAGAACAGTACAAGGAATTCCCTCGTATCTTCCTCTTCCCTTAACGTCAACGTCTTGCAAAACCAAATGCGTTCTTGTTGACCAGACTTGAGCCAGCTGACCTAGGCTGCTGCTTCAGAAACCGTTCCGGTCCACTTCAGACGTGGTCAGATCGTAGTGACCGCATTCCGCTTACCTGTCACAAAATGTTCTCTTTATTTATTTCTTATAGACATTTTTAAATTAATTAATTTCTTTATTTGAGAAAGGTAGAGAGAACACACTCGAGTTGGGGGAGGGGCAGAAGGAGAGCATCCACAAGCAGACCCTGCACTGAGCATTGAACCCAAAGTGGGGCTCCATCCCGGGACCCTGATCATGACCTGAGCCTAAATTAAATTACTGACAGAGGGCAAAGAAGAGTAGGCATCTCAAGTTAGAAGGGGTCATCTAGGGCGCCTGGGTGGCTCAGTGGGTTAAAGCCTCTGCCTTCTGCTCAGGTCATGATCCCACGGTCCTGGGATCGAGCCCCGCATTGGGCTCTCTGCTCAGCGGGGAGCCTGCTTCCTCCTCTCTCTCTGCCTGCCTCTCTGCCTACTTGTGATCTCTGTCTGTCAAATAAATAAATAAAATCTTGAAAAAAAAAAAAAAAAAGAAGAGGTCATCTAGCTCCAGCGACTTCCTGGCATGCCAGTATCTTCCACATACGACATCTTGGATCAGGAGTTGTTAGTGACCCTCTTGCGTATCTGCAATGACAAGGTGCTCACTACCACATAAACTAGCTCATACCGTTGTTGGAGGCTCTCTGTTAGAAAGGCCCCTTTTCATTTTGAACTGAAACCATTCCCTATAACTACTACCCTGACCTCCTGAAATGACAGACAAAAAACGTGACTCTTCAGTCATGTATCAGCTCTGCGATAGGTAGGACAGTCCTAATTTATACGTGTGGTCTTGGTGTGATTCTCAGTTAATGACTAATAGTGCCCCTTCACTCCATCGACTGTCTCAGTTGTGATGAGAGACGCTCAGGTCATCCCTACAGAGGACGAGCACTGCCCCACCCCGCTGAGCATGCCCCCTGCCTACAGCCGCACCCTGGGTGGTCAGCCATTCCTCCAGCAAAGCGGGGGCACATGGGAAAGTCTCCCGAATGCTCGAGGCAGAACAGCCTCCTGCTGAGAGCCACTTCCTGGGACTTCAGAGCTTGGGGAACCGGAGTAAGAGCAAAGTATGAACAGACTCCAGGACGGTAACTCAGACAAGCAGACCTTTTTGCGGGCCACGTATGAGTATAACAGCTTCTGTACTTTACTAATAGGCACCGACCACGAATCCTTTCACCAGCAGAACATTTCTTGGGGCTAGAATTCCAAAAATTACACTTTGAAAAACACTGCTTTACGCTCTTTTGACAAACACGAGTGTTTTCATCCTAATGGCATTTCAGGGGGTTGTGTCCCGGCAGGGAAGGAAACCCTTGTATTATCCCTCCTTTGTTAACACTGGGAGGTGGGAGGCAAATAGACAAAAATTCAAACCCCTAATTTCAGGCTCCAGGAGGTTCCAGGATCCATCACAATGCCTATAAAGTTGTTCCTTTTATTTTCTGGGTTGTATACCTTTGCAGACTATAAAGTCAAGGCAAGCTTGTGCCCAGCAAAAAAATAAGGAAATAAAGGAAACACAAAAACACAACACGACACAACACAGCACAACACAACTTGTCATCTGTGGTTTTAAGCTGTTTCTAAGTGCCCCGAGAATGGAGGAAGGAGCCTTTCCTCCCCTGCTCGCCTCCTTAGGTCACTCCATTCTCTTCTCCCTCTGGGGGATCTGGGATGTCAGCCTAAAAACCACATCCCAAGTTCTCATGTCCCTGGCCTGAGGCTGCCTCACTACTTGACCTGCAGTCCACAGCCATGCTGTGGGCACCAGCTTGGAGGACAGAAGCAAAATGGCTTCTATATGGCACATCAAGTTTTCCTACCCAGCGTCAGAGTCGACAACCCCATTTCAGATGAACTCATTCTTGTTCCCTCTCTCCCTTCGCCCTTATCCCTTCCTGCCCCATGTCTAGTCAGAAGAGATAGGAAACTTCGTGTTACCTGGTACAAGATGACTTTTGGAATCCCAAATATTCAGATTATTTCTCCTTTCCCTCTTGGAGAGTGATAATACTCACAGCTCAAAGGCATCACCCGGACGGAAGCTTCTTCTCTCCAGGAGCGGCAACGCTGAGCAAGAAAGAGAGTGGACCTCACAGCCCCCAGGTTCAAGGGTTCCCTCTCTCCTTCTGGCACCGGTCACCTAGATTAAGATAATTACTATTCACGGATGAAAACCACGTGCCAGTGCCTCCTCTCAAAGATGATCGATCATCCTTTAATTCATCCACCTGCCCTATATTGATGGAAGCTGACAATGAATGATTGCAGGGAGGATGAGAAAAGTCAGCCCAAGTAAAAAGAGAAGAGACTGTTCTAGACAGAAGGATGCACATTTGCAAAGGCCCCGGGAGAGGCTTGACACACACAAGGAGCAGAAGGAAGGGGAGTGTGGCTAGGACTCAGAACCCAAGAGAAAGGAGGGATGTGGGGCGGGGATGGGTTGAAGTCTGACTGTGCTGAGCCTTGCAGGCATGGTTCATAATCCCTTGACCACCACAAAGGCCCAGGGGTGTCCCATCAGAACAGATACAAGGAGTGGGGTCCTAGAGCCCCCTGCTGCCCTAGATGCTGGACTGGGAGAGTCCAGGGTTTCCAGAGTGGAAGAAGGCAGGGGACAGCTTTGGGTAGTGGCTATTATGCAGCTAATACAGAAGTATATCATTTTGTAAATGATATTGCAAGTAGCCATTTTTGTAAGTTGGGTTATTTGCAAATGAGCAAGAGGAAGCTTCTAGGGGGGTTTAAGCAGGGGTTGACATGATCAGATCTGTGCTTATCCAAAGGGAGAGGGAGGGGAAATCCACTTTGTTATTTAAAAAAAAAAAAAAAAAAAGGTAAGGCAAAAACATCATTCCGTAATTCTTTTGTAAT